GTATTCCAAAAACATTGTGCGTCTTTCGGTATTAATTTATCTCAAAACCCAGCATTTTAAATTCTCACAAAACGATCATTGCGGGAAAATTGTTGGCCGGGACTAAGATTTTTGAACGATCGATGCGATAAAACGATAGTTCGAGGAACGATAGAAGCGGGAAAATGTAACATTATTTTATATGGGATGTATTCGGGACCGAACAAAACGGACGATGCATCCGGGAAAACGATAGTTCCGGGAACGATGGATAGAGGTTTCACTGTAATGTAAAAAAGCAAAGAAATTAATTAAGTCAACTCACCATCTCTGGTTTTCTTCTTCTTTTCTCTAGAAGATTTCAGTTCTGTATTTTTAATTGTGTAAGCTTCTTCCTGGTTCAATTCTGATATCACAGCATGGTAATCTGGAGGATCCTCGTTGAGCCATAAGTCCACACTCTCTGCTGCCTGGAAATAAAAGAAAATTATTAATGTAACCAAATTGGACAATTACAAGCTAATCCCTTGTGCTGTGAAGAGGAGTTCTATAATTAAAATCAACCTCTGGAGGAGAACCAAATGTGAATTCTTTCTCTAAGGACATTTGTTAATTAATGATTTAACACCATAACTACAACAGAAAGCATCAGTTCTTCCTTAACAGCATGCAAGACATCCAATTTTATGAATATGTTCTGTTACTGATATTAAACACTGTCAGTGGTGACAGTAGTGGGACGGAGAAAATTAGATGGCACCGAACTACAACTGATCCACCTCAAGAGCAGCGTAAAATGATATGCTATTTATACTTAATAATGTTCTACAAGAAACAAAAATGGCTCTGTATAGTCTAAAAGTAATAATAAATTACATTTGCTCATCACTTTGGAATAGGCATTCAAAATTGTCTTCTTTTAACCCAAACTCAATACAACTTCCTGGATGATGACTAAATGTTGTTCTTTGCCAACAATAAACAAACTACACATCCTGATGATAAATATTTTAGTTACATTTTACAATGTTCACCTTTTGACTACTCTTGCTGCTCTGATGCTCTCTTAATTTGTTCTTATACTTCTTTTGCTTGTCCTTGCTTCGACTCTTGTCTTTGTGGCGGTGGTGTTTCTTTGTCTCTCCACCACGTTGTTCTTCTGAAGCCACGGGTGGTGACTCAGCAATTCGGTGTGTCAGAACTGGAAGTTTTTCCTCATCTCGCAGAGGCCTACAAAGTAAAGAAAGTATCCAGTAATAACAATAAAAAAATAAATATCCAGTTTTATAAATTTAAAATATCAGCAAATCTATGTGATTATTACAAATGCTCACTTATTTTGTGTTTTAAAGGACAGGAGACTAACTGAAAAAATCTGTCTACTTCTTGAAAAGTAATTATTTCAATATTCCTGCCTCTCCTCATATTATAATTACTTGCAAACTTTTATCAATGCATTATATTTTAAAAACACACCATTAACCCAACAAATTCTGTGCAAAGGTAATTTTGGTGATTAAGAAATTTAAATGTAGGATAGCACTAGCATATACTAATACTTTTGACATGCATACAAATTGTAGTTATATTTTATAACTGGAATTATGTTTTTAGTTAAATAGTTTACAACTTTATTTTATGTACTAAAATGTTGCATTCACAGTGAATGTCTTATCTTCTCTGTAACTATTTAGACATGAAACTGAAATTGTTAAAACCATTCTATGCAAAACATACTCGTCTAAATTGATATCCAATGCTTTATGAGGGTCATCATTTGGCCGAGAATCAGGCTCTTCCCCATCAGACACCTCTGCTCCCTCAGGCATTTCTCCAATGTCCGTATTCACCATGTGGACAGGCACAACACTCTCCTCTTCCTCTTCACTTGTAGCCACTTTACCTTGGAGAAAATAAATACATGCAGAAGTCTGAGGTTTTATAACCATTTCTTCAACTTCAGGCACTTTTGTTTTGCATTCTGCATGAAATTAAATCATAATGGAAACAGTATCTGTCCACCTGCTTGTTTAATCTAGATATTTGAATAAAATCTGCAATGCCTATTTCAGATATATTTAAATATTGTATACATTTAAGGAGAGACAGCAATATCTGAGCCTCCATACAATGTAAAATTTTTACTTCTTATTAGTATCATGAAGAAAATTTATACCATGCAGCATATCTCTACGGCTTGACATCTGTCAATAACAGATAAATATCCGTAATAAATAAATAAAAAGACCAGTGAAAGATTCAAAATCACATGGAATTCTTTTTTAAACTGTGTACTTTAACAGAGTACATACTTACGATGTTGGTGATGGCTGTGTTTTGGAATGTTGTGCCATGTAGTCTGATACAGTGACAGACATTTTGGATGACTTTACTGCTTCTGTCATCAGGGTGATCACTCCGACTACATGACTAACAGACTATATAGCACATCATCTTCATATTCATTGCTATTAAAACCTAAAATCTCATCTTTCCATTTTTGTCTACTTCTACTGATTTTTACTTATTTTTGTGTGTGTGCATGTTGATTTTTCAATGTACCTTTCTTTCCCTTTCGCCATTTCTTCTTTTTGTGCCGCTTCTCGGCAGACCGGTCCAAACTGAGGTAACTGTCAGATGAAGCAATACCTAAAATACAAGAATTAAAAAGGTCTACATATTTAATACTGAAGAATCATATAATCAGAAAAAAACTTTACTGAACACTGGGTATAAATTATGGAGCTCCAAACATGCTATAACTTCAAAAATAAAGAAGGAATAAAAAATTATTGTACATGGTACAGATTTCATGTTCATGATTTGAATAAACACAATGCTTAAATGTTTTGACCTTGTTAAGTAACTTTTTAAGTAGCCTATATTACATAAACAGTACTTTAATGTTAATAAAAACAAACTACAATACAATGCAACAAAAATTAAGTAAAGGATCCACTATAAACTGACATCATCCAAAAATAAAATAACCATATTGTAACAATTAGTATTACCTGGAATCTTAAGTGGGACGGGCAGATCTATCTCTGCAATGGGAACCTCTGCAAAGTTGTCTATTACAGTGCTGCTGAGCCTGTTGTTTGTTTTGTGATCATTAGATGTCTTCAAATAGTGGGGGTTGTTTGCCTGCTCCATCTTGCGTACCTCTCGGCGCTACAATATTGATCATAATAATTAAAACATAATGAATAAAAGAGTACATGTAAATGGAATATTTTCCATATCCTTTCATAACTAAAATTTAACAAACTCATTAACTTAATATATTTTAAATTTCTTCAGTTACTAAGTCTTACAAGAGTAGCTGAATATTAAATGCTAAGAATGTGCAAAAAAGTGTCAGAATTGTGGCTTCAAATTCTCAAATTTCAAACTGATCTCAGACTTTGCAACTGTAATCATTCTGCTGAGCGTGAAAATATGTGAATTCAAGATTCCTCTTTGCATTCTTTAACGGTACTTGCACCATTTCACATTGAGTACAGCACAAATTTATGTAATACAAAATATTTGAATAATAAATTACTATTTTCAAAATATTTCACAAAATATATTGAATTTTACATTGTATTGGATTTACATCAAATGTAATTTCATTGTACAGAACTTAACCAACATCTTTACACAGGAAGTTATATACAAAATAAATTTTTATGAATTTTGAACATTTCTCAATCTGACATTCAATTTAAAGATATTATTTGTATTCTAAATAGTACACTATGCAACTGATTCAGCCGAAGAATTTACCTTCTCCAGTTCTTCCTCTGTTAACTCAGGCTGTTTGTTGTAGTTATCTGCATTGTACATTCCATCCGTCAACTTGTCAGTCTTAACAAATATGTCCACTGCTCCAATACCAGGAATATCCTCATCCTCTGAACTCTCGGATGGAGGGTCATTAATCCATAAATCAAGATCCAGCCTATAAAACAAAACAAACTTACAATTACCTATCTTCAGATGCAACTAAACCTAGGAATTATGCAAGGAATAAATTTTAAGTGTAATATATTCCAATCCCAATCATGTCTAACTTGCAAACATTCAATATAAAGAGAATTCTGGAAAAAATTCTCTTTCTAATAGGAACCAGTAATACCTAAAAATAAATGAAATACATAATTTTCAAGTCTGTCTCCTAACTTTTAATTAAGTATATCACAATATGGCACTAAGCTTAAAGCAATTAATGTGTGTAAAGCAAATGCTTTTAATTTTTGAAGTGGTTAGTTAATGGAGATATGAAAATAAGAATATTTCAAAGTTCTTGATGTCTTTTCAAGGATTGTTGTGAATCTGTGGTACAGGAACTGCACAGCAGGTGGCCTGGAACATCATGGAATGAGGGCAATGTGAGACATGCAAGAGGCTGTGCACTGTACTCATTATCAAATGGTAGAAACAAGTGCAGAGAAAGAATTTCAATTGGTAGTTGTCACATCAATCTTGGTAAAGATTGTAAGACACATCTGCATCTGACAACACATTGAATGACGAATGGTAATGCAGGAAAAAATGTGATGAATGCATGAGAATTATAAGTGAGTTAGTAATGTAAGATTTGAGGTTTTCACAGCAGTGAGTATGAAGATTTCTGTCTTCTGGGTTGTTGCGCTGTGTAGTCTGGTCGATGTTTACCGTTTCAGAGGTCATACAGCCTCCGTCATCAGGGCGATGAATATTCACAGCGCAACAACCCAGAAGAAAGAAATCTTCATGAATTAGTAATGTAGCATACAGCAGCCTGTCTCTGAACAATTGTTACAGGTGACAAAACCTACTATTTCATGCCAGTTAGTCTAGTGACAACAATTCTGTTGTGTGTAGGGTCATACATGATGTGCTAGCACCTGTCCAGTTGACACAACATAGCTCAATTTTTCTGCCACCGGAACTTTTTGGAGCTACCATGTAATAAAATACAATATATTGACTCACCCTTCTGGAACTTGGACTTTCTTTTGAGCCTTAGGAGCCACAGGATTCAATTCTCCAACAAACAGTGCTGCCATTTCTGTTGCTAATCCCAGTTCACCTTTGTTGACTTGTTTTTGTAGGTACCGCAGAAGTTGCAAAGCTGAGCTAGCTCGTTCTTGGACTTCAAGATCTGCACTTGACACAAATTGTGGCAAGTTCTCTGCTATCAGATCACACAACTGCAATAAAAATCATTACAATACAGTACCATTCGCTAAATCAATTAATAAAAAAGAGTGGAAATGTTGGTTTCCTATCTCCCTCTGCTTCATGAAAAACAAAAATAAGACAAAATATGAAGAAGTCAAATTGTTGTCCTTTAATCATTATAGTCCCATAGCATTACAATGTAAAACAATTTTATATTCATCACTTAAGAATAAGGAAGGAATCAAAATGCAAATTGCATTTATTCCAGTCTTTACCAAATTTCTGAATTCAAAATTAATCAGAGTTTCTTGGGGGCTCTAATTTGCTCCGATGTAATTAATTAAAAATATTTACAAACACTGAAGCAGGGGTCAATCATTCTGAAACCAAGCAAAAACTACATTTGAAACCAGAAGTGTCAAACTCCCATAAAACTTTAAGCTTTAGCTGCATGAAGCAAACCTGAAGTTTCAAAAACTGAAATTCAACAAGTTACAGTATGTTCCTTAAATTGAAGTCAAGGAGTTCCTGAAGATGGCTACCTTCTTGGTTGCTGTACCGTGTAGTCTGGTAGAAGTTTAGTGACATTTCAGAGGTCCCTGCAGGGCAGCAAGGCCCTCTGAAATGTCAGTAAATTTCTACCAGACTACACGGCACAACAACCCAGAAGACAACCATCTTCAGACTTGCTGCCACCTCAAATCCTACAAGGGCTTCCTCTTTTCCCAACATATCATGCCACAAGCAGGTGAGTTTGTACTTCCTTACAACTGTAATTTGTTCTGCTAAGTACCCAGTCCCCACTTAATGGTACCCGCACCTTGTCGTAGTGGTGGGGCTTGAGTACCTCAGTGATCCCAAGAGCTATGCTGGCGGTAGAATAGCTACTGGTAGGGCCCCCCTAGCCAGATTGGTCGAGGGGGAGAGGTCAGACTAAGACAGGAACCCTGGTTGGGGGTTGGTCGCAAGGCTAACAACCTTGCACCGTAAAAAGGAAGATGTTTCGAAACCTCAATCAAAGCCTCGGACAGATGGACCTAACAGAGGACCGAATGGAAAAGGAGAATTGAGGAGGCCATGGACCGAATAAGGACCGTAAAGCAGAAGAAGAAGAACAACAACAACCCAGTGTGTGAATCTGAGATGGCTCATCTTTCTATAATATTTTTTCTTTCCATCACACAGATTACATACTTCCATTAAACTTACAAGGACCAAGTCACAATTTTTTCATCTGAGTTGTATATGTTCAATGAGAAGTCGCTGTCTCATGAAAACCTTGACTCACTGTCAAAAAAAGGTTAACTTTGTCAGCTCTACATGATATGCGGGTATTCATGAATAGGAAATTTTTAATACCTAACTAAAAGAGAATAATAGTGGTTAAGAATATATCTACTGATGACATACAACTATTAACACTGGTGGTATATCAGATACATTACATTATAATGACTCATGTAAAATCTGTTCTGGAAAGGTTAACAACATGCCAGTTACCCACCTTGCTTAAAAATAATTTACTTAATGCACATTTTTTAACATTTTACATGAGAATAATTTATACAATTACCTTATTGATCCTCTCAATATATTCATCCTCCTCAGTATGACTAAGAATGTTAGCAAACAGTTTGAGAATGTTCTGAACATAAACAGCCTGAATATGTCCTGGTAAGGCAAACACACGTCCACGCAACATGGCCTCAAGTGTTGACTGAGGGTCTGACAGATACCTGCAAGCAGGACAGGATTCAGAAAATTAAAATGAGTATTAAAAGAATGATAGAGTTCCAAAACACCGAAGGTGATCATCTTCTGGGATGTTGCCCTACATTCTGGTACATGTCACAGAAATTTCAAAGGACAACAACATAAGTCATCTCTACACTCATCGCCACAAGAAACTCAAATATCACAAAAATAAGTATTTTGTATAATTGCACTATTCCAAGATTTTTCTGTCCAGGTATTAATTTTTATATTCCTTAACATACTTCCTCAGCTCCTTAGATTGCTATTACAATTAACTATAAATTCTTCGATGGCAAAGAGACTCACTGGTGAAGGTGTGACAGATGTTGCAAACTGACAGTGAACAAGACAGACATGTCAATAACATGTACTATTCTTCTTATAAACTTATTTCCATTTTATATGGGTCAATGGACAACATATGTTAAGATGTTACCACTCATTACGTACCTACATTTGAACATGGTAATTCAGAGGTGATGATACAGCAGTGAATACAGAACATGATTCACAATGGGTTCAGAATACATTTTATTGCGTGCTTCTAGGTTTAGAGGCACAGTGTTCATCAGAAAAGCAATGTAAATATGCAAGCATGGAATTCAGAGTTTATAACTTAGAAATTGCTGATTATTCAGTAATTTGTTTCATGGTGACAGCAGCTGAGTTTGTACTTAATTGAAGTCATACTTTATTTCTGTGAAGTTATTGAATATAGGAATTCCATTTTCATGTTCCTCTGCCTCCTTCCTTTAATTCATTTATTCTTTCTTTCTTTGTTATGCACATCTCCATTACACATGAAGGAACACAACATGGGAATCATACATCACAATAGTAAAGTTCAACATTTTATACAGACATATAGAAAACTTTGTTCTCCTTACGCCAACAAAAATTGTGCCCTGGGGACACAACTATAAAAAAGATGTTAATATGAATTTTATAAGACAAATTCCCACTTACACAAAACGCTATATATGGTGATTTTGTGTGTGAAAATTAAAATTTTGTTACCTTTATTAATGTTTATTGACAATTTACTGTATAAACACACTTACTGAGAGAACTCTCCAGTTATCCACGCCGCTGCATACAGAACTTGTGACATTGTAGAACTCTGAGCTGTTAATAAATGTGCATTGTCTATAAGGAGAGCCATCTGCTGGACAGCAAATGGTCTGATGGCTTGTACTCGTGTTGCAACATCCAGCATCTGAGAAGCTACAAGTAATCCATGCTGACTACCTTCCATGCGTGTCAAATCTACCAACACACTCACATACCTGAAACAAAATTGTTTGTTACATTCATAATCATCTAGCTAGAAACAATTACATGATACAAAACATTTTAAAATGTCTTAACTGATCTTCCTAAGCTTACTTTCATAAATCCTATAATACAGGACCAATTCTTCACAGTTCTTTCACTATTAACAAAGTACAGGTAATAGGGTATATGGTACCAAGAATACATGAAAAACCGTTCTCTGTGATATGGGTACAGATAACAGATGACATTATTTTGTTGCTAAGTAAAATGAATGGTAGAATATAAAAAAATAAACTACAGATGATTCTGAATCAAATGTAATAGCTTTCACTAAATCAAAAGTAATATAACATCCAGCATTCATAAATAATCTGTGGCGTAACAGCCCTCTGAGAGCCAAAGCCGACTAGCTGGCTGCTGGCCTCACGTTCACATGCCTAAGAAGAGGTGAATGATCATCCAACCAGATATAGGGTGATGTGTGGTCAGCACGACGAACCCCCAGCCATTGCTAGTTTTCATGACTGGATTATGCTACCCATTGTAGCTCCTCAATTTCCTCACAATGTTGGGTTGGCACCGGTCGCATACACCGGTCAAAAATCTCATGAGAAATTTCTTTCCCCAAGACTCAAACCAGCGCGCATTCCGTATCACCGGTCTGAAGCATGATACCTCAGATCGTGCGGCTATGGCGCAGGACTCTTCAGCATTCATACTCATCATAAAATCTACAGGCAATGGTTGTATCAAATTGTAGTCTTCTAACTAGTTTGTGTTGTCTTTCCATTCAGCTATCCTGAGGCATTTAATTGTTTTCTTCTGTCCCTGCAGCTAAATGATGGTATGTTACTAGCTAAAAACAATCCACAACTTCCCTACAACAATTCTTCAATTTATCATTCAGTCAATCAGTATTCAATAACATATATGTATTTTAAGAGGCACTATTAAATAAATAAGAATGCCTTAATTACCATAACTAAGTAATATAGTTGACTGCAGACCAAGAGTCAATACCCACCATTCAAAATTTGTGATATACTGATAGTTATTCTGGGAACAGATCTGAATAATTTTTGAGAGTAGTTCATCTCTGTATGTTGTACCCTCAGCCTTGTCCATATGCACCATCAGCTTCTTCACAATCTCCATGAGGTTCTTTTTGGACACCTGTAGAATGAGAAACACAATATTCTATTCATGCACAGCTTTTCCCTGAACCCACTAAACACCAGAAACTTTTCCCTTTTGCCTAAATTATTTTTTTCCTTGCTCTTCTAGACTTTATAAGCCTAATACCAATTTGTTTTCCTTCTACTTCCCCCATAATTTGAAGGAAAAAATAACTGGTATTGTCTACCTCTCAAACGTCTGTCTTTACTATTGTATACATTTGTTTTATTGCTGAGTTTAGAAACACAAACTGCATGTCTTTAAACCTTTCCTTCACTTTCAAACACAGTGCTGTATAATTAAATTTTTGGTAACATATGGCTATAGAAAGTTGTCAACATATATTGATTAGGAATGTCTACAGTATTTAAATTTGTCATCAAACTGTACATTTCAGTGTATGTACAGAGTGTTCAAAGTCACTGTGCACTTTTTTTGTCTTTCTTACAATCCGCCAGTATTATCAGATTGTACATTACTTATTATTATTATTATTCAGTGTTCTGTCTGACGACAGGTCCTTTGCTCTGCCCAAAAAGAGCTCTCCAGTTTACACATTACTACATAACAGCAATTACACAGTGACTTTTCGAAGACACTGTATATCAGTTATCAATACATACTTCATGCTGGTAGTAATAACATTTAAAAATAAAATTTTTATATACACTTACATATAAAATGTCATGGCATTTAGTATTTTGAAATGCCTAAGCAACAGCTTAAAATTTTCTCAATTTCTGATTACTGTCTTACAAGAGCAATGTGTAGGATTTGAGGTTTTTAAGGTAGAGAGTTTGAAGATGGCTGTCTTCTGGGTTGTTGCATCATGTAGTATGGAAGAAGTTTACCGATCGCCCTGACGATGGGGGCAGCATGGACCTCTGAAACGTTGGTAAACTTCCACCAGGCCACACGGCCTTCACCATCTTCAAGAGTAATATGATGGTTTCTTACACACTGTACAGACATGACTTTCTCAATAAATTCTGCAGTTATATACTTGCCATGCCATAAAGGAGGTCCAGAGCACGAAGACGAATTGACTCATCCTTGTCATCTAGACATTGCATAATGAGGTCTTTGTGAGCCTGCACAGACTTTGGATGTGTTTTGAGTATCTTTGACATAGCCAGGAGCCCCAAGTACTTCACTGAAGGAAAACATTAGAATGAAAACAGTACAGCAATGTCTCATATCAAAAGTAACAAAATTCTAGACAGTTTTATAAAATAAGAAAAACAAATTTTCTATCAGAAAACAGAAATGCGACACCTATGAGGTCTGACAATAAAGTTCCAAAATTAAAGCAAGAGAATATTTTATACTATATGTAACAATAATGTGGCTGTCTTCAAGGTAATGAACCTGTAAGCCTGATCACAATGCTGCCATACTTCACATAGCCTTGGTAGTTTATCTGCTCAGTTGTGGCCCTCTGGATCTATTCAATTAATAAAATATAAGAAACTTTATTAATAGACCAATATTTTAAAACTCCACAATGTAATGAAAGTTACCTTACATTCTACAACAAAATTATTAAGCTAGGTTCATTAGAAACATTAGACAGTAAAGAATATTCCACAATCAGTCTTCACACTTCTAGAAATCAGAAATATTGAACCTGAAGATTCAAAATTGTCACTACAATTGCCCACCACTAAATCCTAACACGCACCTTTTTAATGCAGTTAAAATGTTCATAACATACTTCCATAAGGTTCACCAAAGTCTCTTTCATGTGTGCTGCAAGGCTGGCTAATTTAAATTTCTATAATTCAAACACTCAAAGAAAATCTGGTATGAAACATATACCATTAAGCTCCACATTACCATTCTTTCTCCTCTTAGATTGGAACTAATAGGCTGTTTGAATATCTTTGAGTGAAAAACTTACAATTCTGATCTGAGTCTTCAATAAGTATTCGCAGCTTCTGCACACAAAGCTAGAAAAAGTAGAACACACACATATATACTATAGATTGAAACACCATAATTTTCAAAGTCAAACTTCTGCCATAAATTTGGCTTTATGCAAGGTCTGTCAGAAATTGAAAGGTTTTATTTGTATATAATAACTATGCACATATTTCTTTTGGGTGAAGAGTAATAACCCTAAAGAACTGGCTGGGAGCATCAACGAAATGTACAAAATTGTGCTGCTTAAGTAGAATCACTTATTTCAAGTAAATATTTAACGGTAATACAGTGAAACTTTCAAAAGCACCTTGTGATTTGTAAACTGACAAATCATATCACACCACAGAGTAGGTTACAAAATGACATATTACAGGTTCAATAAAGAACATGAAACCACACATAGCTCCATGCACTACCAGCATACCTAAACACAGAGCCCTCAGCAATGGATTGAATCAACAACTTCAATGACATCTGGTTCCAACAGGGTGAAGCGACTTCTGATGTGGCAAGTATTAATCTTTTACACAAAACCTTTTTCAAGACAGACTATTTCCTGCTTTTTATGATTGTGCATGCGCACCTTACCTAATAAAATATGTCAAAAAATGAAGTAACTAATCTGAATAAATTCACAAAAGTTCAAATTCTTTCTCTCACATAAAATAACCTCTAGTAACTCACCTGTATTGATGCACTATGGTTTGGCATTCCAGATGATATTGAGATCAGAACTGTCAACAAACCAATCAGTTAACCACATTATATTCAGCTGTTATCTAACAACTAGAATTGACAGGCAAAAAGAAAACTGGGATCCCTCCCTCAGGGAGTTGATGTTTTGGAGGAACATTCACCACCATGCAAGTGAAACAAGTATGAAGAATAACCAGATGCTGTTATCTTATTCATTTTGTTTAGGACTTTCTCCACATTTCTATAAAAATTAATATAATTTAATTATTAATACTTTCTTCATATTGACTATGGCGTGTATGTAAACACATGCCAAACAGGCAGAAATGAAATGCTACCCACCTCCTGGCTGCCAGCCGGTCATCTTAAGTACCATCCACACAAAGTGAATTACTTCTTGCAGTACAGTAACAGACAGCCACGAAATCAAACAAACTGAAGCATATGTACGATGGTAACACGGTAACGTGTGAGAGATTTCATTCATTAGGACAGTGATTGATCTCAGAAATTCCAATGTCATGTCGCTGAAAAGTATCCTTCCCACTTGTTACATCAGCTTACATGACCATGTTCATATTCATTACACAGTCATCATCCATGGAATTTTGTCTTAAATAAGTGGGTAACTAGTACTCAACTGTTGCAGGTTATTTAATATTGCTATATCAATTAGTCAAAGTTATGTATTGTCAAATAAGACACACAAGGGTAACTAAGACTTCCTAGTGATAAATGAAATAATATATAATCATTCCAAGGTCTTACCTGCAATGACAGTATTGATGCACTCATAGAGGAGGGACATGGCCGATGTGCTGTTAATACAAATTTTAATAAATCAATTCACTGGTAACTAGTAAACCAAAAAATAATTTACAAAGAACATGAGTCTTAAAGCTATTCTTTTTATAAATAAATAAAATTAAATGTCTGTTGACCCAAAATATATGTTCAGGCAACTCAAATTTTTAGAATTTTATATGAGAGTTCTTTGCAACAAAGGCTATATATAACCCATGTAATCTTAGTGTTATCTTACTGGGACCAAAAAATTATTTTGTTATATGAAAGAGTTCTAGAGAGGTTCATATATGTACATTTCATTGTAAGATGAAACTAATATACGTATACTGGGCAACATATGCCCTACCTTTACAGAAGAAAGAAAACACTGTTTGAATTACTGCAAAACAAAACTAAATATGTAATTTCAAATATAACAAACTGGTAATAAAACTATTCTGAAAATAACATGCAGTCATGAAACTGATGAATCAATTTTATATTTCAAGGGAAAAATTATGCAAGTAAATTGAAGTATATATGTCCTATACATGTGGCTTACTGGATAAACATATTTATTTTTTAAGATTTCTTACCATTAATTGACATTTTCGTCTTCACCTGGTCAAATTTGGTTAGAACCATACAAAATATGTCACTACAGTGGCTTGTATACAGATTTTAAAATATACCCTATGTACATGCAGAAAAAGATAATTACCACTTCCATATGACATCAATGTAAAAAGATAGATTCTGGCCTGAAGACAATAATGCAATATAGTACAACTACACATAATCAATTTAACACATGCCAGACTTGTTGATGTCCTCTAATATGGCATAATACAGAGTAGGTTAGCTTAGCTTAGTACAAGGTATGAAGCAGTAAAGGTGTTTTTACCTGTGGATGAGATTGGTGAGCGGTTCTATTAGCTTTTTACCAAGCCGAGGTTCCAATGGGGTCAGGGCTCCAAACTGAAAATAATAGAAAAGCCAATTGGGAAAACCTCACCTGAAGGAATTTAAGGACAACACAAAAAATTGAATGAAATACTACGGGAATAACTTAAATTTGGTTCGGGAGAGAGCAAACCAGAGTCTGAATATCACATTCCTAGACAAATAAAAAAGACAGCTTAACTTAATGGACTAATAAAAATCAACATATTTGCTAGCTGACTTTAAGCATTTTTAAGTAGGATTTAAGGTTCCCACAGCGCTGAGTACAAAAATGGCCATCTTCTGAATTGTAGTTACATGGAGTCTCGTGGAAGTTTACCAACATTTCAGAGATCATTGCTGCCTCCATCATCAGGATGTTGGTAAACTTCTGCCACACTACAACCCAGAAAGACAGACAACTTTTAGCATTTCTATTTCCAATTATGCAAGTTATTAAAACAATGGTTATCTCAAATTCAAAAGGTTTATCTCAAGTGCGATAGGGCTTATGCAATAACAAAAAAAAAAAAAGATGTACAGCAAAGATACAACACCTGCATTTGTTTTGTGCTGCGTATTTCCAGCAGCTTGTGTTCTGACCCCTCTACATCAACCTTGATTGCACAGAACACAAAACTACCAACCACCTTTAACAGACTGTGTATTACTTACAGTCATATTTATCCAACAAGTGTTAAAATCACTTCTACATGAAGATGACACCTATAATTACATAGCCTTTATCTGAAGCATTTTTAATTAGGGGGCAGACATTGAATTACCTTGATATAAGGTCTATCAGTGGTTGAGTAAGTTTGCATCCAATTTTTGGCTCTAAAAGAGTCATGACACCAAACTGGAACAAAATTATGAATCACAAAAGAAAAAAAATCCATTCAAACCTATTCAATCTGCTTTTCATCAAAAACAGTGTTCTGTCATTCTACACTGATCCAACTCAGTGTCCAAGATGTACAATGCCATGTCCACAGCACATGGCAACTAAGCAAGAGGAATACTTTTCAGTTCTATCTTTGGCACACAACATACCTGAGCGGACTTGAGTTCAGCATTTAAAATTCATCATTTCAAATACATCAACTGGTTAATGCTGTACGAGGACATAAACATAAAATGCATCATTACCAATTGTTAAAGCAGACAGTACATATAGTTACCACTTGCCTTTAAAGGGTTAATTATACCAAAAAAACTGTTTATGTTCTGGGTAATTCTTGCCACAACTTTTGTTTCTTTAGCTTCTAAGACATGGTCGATCACAGATTCATATTTTCAAGACAGGCACACAGATTCTAGCACTCACCAACTTAATAATTTTTATGAGCATCCAGTTGTTAGTAGAAGTGGTCATCAGTTTGAAGAAAACTGGAGCTAGGCTTAGATAGTTTTTGGGGTTCTTGCGTGCCAGTTCACACACTACATTCACAGCTGCTGATTGGACACCTGTTGCACATAAACACCCTGAGATAGTACAACTATGCAACATAAAATATATATATGCAACTTTCATATTTCTATATTATCATGTTATAGTTCAACAGCTTATGCAAATTATAATTCATAGACAAGGATTTCTTAACTAATGAGCCATATACAGTACCCCACAGGTAGGTTTTGTAAGACATGAAGAACACTGTAGGACCTTGCATGTTGAAACAATAATTATCACCTAAGTTAAGAGTTTAATTTCAATGAACAGTTAATAAAGGTAACAAATCTACAAATCTGTTAAAGAAAAGTATTGGATATTATATGAATCTGTTTGTGACAGGAGGTTAATAGTGTTTTAATAAATTGTCACAAAGTTTCAATGAACTGTCCTCATTTATAATCATGTGTAACTGCATTTTGATAAAATGGAGCAAATGTGCTCTCAAGTTTTAAACGTTGAGAACCCCTGCTCTAGGCCATGTTAAATGCTTAAATTTGACAACCAGTCCAGTGTTAGACACAAACAAATGGTCTGCCACTTTGTCTCTCTCACAATCCAAGTTCTCTGTGATGTTCAGTAGAAAATTACCTTCTTCCTGGTAATGCTTGGTAAGTCAAAATACTTGTTAAACACATCACCAAGTGTTCCTGTGAAGCTGTAAAGTGTCTAGTAAGCTACTAGAAAATTTAAATTTGCTTTCAAGAACAGGTCATTGCCTTGGATAGATATTTTGTATGAAAATTTTACAAATTGGTTCAATTACATATAATATTAAATGAAAGACGTACAAACAGAATCAAGAAATGAAAGAATAGTTTTTACAAAACAGTCTTTAGATATTCTACATGCTGTAAGATGAACAGAGAACACTTTCTGGGCCCATCCACGGATGTCAGCCTGTCTGTCGCATTTTTTTATGGACGTAAACATGGATCATTGTTCAACAACAGGACCTGAGGCCCCACTGTTGGAACCCACTGTTAAGATAATGGGACCTCAGATCACACTGGCTCAAGAATTTCCCAAGGCAATAACCTGGGATCACAATCATGCAAGAATTACCTATAACATGCTGATGGTCTCAGAGCACACTACAGCAACAACTTAGGTGGTTTGGCACACAGAACAATTTTACATATTAGTGTACTCCAAGGAACACATCTTTCCAATCTTGTTAACTTTAGAAACTTTCATTCTTGGTACATAACAACTGCATTTTATCTCAATTCACTTCAATCCCTAAATTTATACTCTTCTTCTTATTATTCTCTAATTTTGCCACATAACTCACCAGAATCTGGATCTTCAAGTTTATCTTTTAGGCGTGGAAATGCTGGCCGAAGAGCCTCAGGAAACCGTAGGAATACCTTGTACATCATCAGAACAGCCTTTTTTCTGAGGTAGGGCTTTGTAGATGTCAGCTACAACACACCAACTCCTATTTACTGTTACACAGTGTGACTTCATGTCACATTTTAATTAAGAAAACACTATATGGGAACACAAAATATGTGTTTATTCAGTACCTAAGTGGTATATCCAATGTGAAATTTTTATTTTGGTAGTGACAATTCCTCCACACAAGTTGTAATAATATTACCACCATGATTTATTGGTCGCCAGAGCGATGTTTCTGACAACAGAATATTTAATGCAAAATTGAAGTTGATATTACAGTAGGAGACACCTTCTATTGTATATTCTACCCCATACACTGTTATGGTCTCAGGGATGATAAATTTCAAGTTTTGATTAATGTTGTATTAAAATATTTAGGGATTTCAGCCGTTTAAATTATAATTATAATCCAACACAAGCTTTCTAATGTTTTAATTACATGTGATACATGTTATGGAGAGAAAATTATCTCACATATCAAAAGCGTGTCTTCCAACTTAGATGAAACAACACTCTGTCAATAAGCTAAGTGACACCATCTTTGCTACGTAACAAATGAGTAATGTACTAAACTGTATTTCAGGAGGTCTATGCCAGGTGCGACAGTGTCACCAATTATGCACCTTGACAGATATATTCTAAAAATCTGAAATTTTCATTTATTCAACATTAACTTTATAGAAACTTCATTCTACATAGTTTTCATACTTTAAATGATATACAGACAACTCAACTACAAAGTGCTTTACATTACACAGCATTGGAACAAACATCAACTTGGAGATAAGTCAAGGAGAACATCCAGCAACAAATCAGCAATGAACATTAACAAACTGCAGAGAGAAAATAAATGTACTTACCAGGGTCATTATATCATTGGCAAGGTCCCTAGCAAGATCAGGACTGATGAAACATGACAACCCAGACAAAGCAAGACCAGAGTCATACTGGTTTTGACTATTCAGGTCCTTACGGATCATATTAGTTGTGAGCATTAATAACTGGAAAAAAAGGTGATATATTCATTACCCTTGATGCCAAAAAATTAAACTTTCCTGTCACAGACACTGTATGGAGGATGATTCACACATGATGTATCTGACTAATGCCTCAGTCAGCTTCTGGTCACTATTCATGGATACTGCGGTGTAACACAAGTGCTTTTAAAAACTGTAACATATGCCACTGTTCTTATGAAACAATACATATTTCAGGTACAAAGCTTCTTAAAACAAGAAGATTTTAAGCCTATGGTTACCAGTTTGGCAAGTTTGCTAATACAATGCACATAAAGCTGGACTGTGTATAAGATATCATGCTAGGTTTATAAAGAAATATGTTTGTCAGCAGTCATAACAGACTGATATGTGTAATAAAACCTGATGGAATCTGAATAAAATATTTTTATTCTATGCAATCACTTTAAGTAAACTCTTTTACTACATACCCTAAGGTTACTTTAAATTAGTAAATCTGTTCCATAGATTATATTTTTCAAACTCATTCTAAAATAACATCCTACACCATTCCTTCTCTCACAGATTCTATGTGCGCATTTGTGTGTGGGAGCAGGGTCTTATAAATCTGTGGTTTACTGGCCACAAATATTCAATGTGCATGTAAATATTAGCCACGCTGTCATGCAGAATATTTTGTAGTCATAATCCCATGCAATGTATTTAGTCAAACACTTACTTCGGTATCAGAATGGAAACTCTGAGATGATGAAAGATAACCTATTCTCTTATAGGTAAATTTGGATGAGCTCATCACCTCAATGATATTGAAACCTGCCCAGCTAATGTCATAACCCAACATCTGCAGCTGTAAACATAAATGCAACAAATATAAAAAAAAATTTGACAACATTAACCTGACATGAAATGTCTACAATGCAGAAATGGTGTCACTGCAAAATCAGACACATCTACACCTAGCATTACAATATTTACTATATCTAATATTACAACTGGGCCCTGTGTTCAAAACACAAAATGTAAATGAATCTGTCAAGGAATAGAATGCTTCAAAATTAAACAACTCATCTTCTAAACAAGGAAATCGAGACAAAGACATAAGGAACAAAAATGCTCATATTCACAAGAACAAATAGAGAAAGAATTGGATTTTAAAATGCTGTCACATTTTCAACAAATAAAATCTATTTTTCACGTAATAGGTTTACTACTCACATATGTAAGTTTAGCAACAGCATTTGCCTTGACAGCTATGTTGTCTTGCCGCAGTTCTTGCTTGATCTCTTCAATACACTGGGCAATATATTTTGCCTGAAAAATAAATTGTCATATCAACTTACTGCTTCGAAGCCATATTTTCCAACCTGTTTCAAGTCAGTCACGCATACGTATTTTAAATCAACTATCAGAACTTGTAATTAAATTCGTACGTAAAAAGAGATTCAATACTAACCTCATTGTCTTTGTTATTCCTTATTCCACGAACTAAATCTGTTAAATTTTTATCAAACATACGTTCTAAGTTCCCCTTGACTTTTCTAAGTGCCATGGCAATCCCCACATCAGCAACAAAATATGATTTGTAAATTGAAGGAATACAGTTTAATAATATGTGGTATACACCTAACTAAATATCAATACAATGTTACACTCATTTTGCATAAAATTATACTAATTATCACAGAACAGGAATAAATGTAAATCCTCATTTCGCACACTACCACCGCAAATCTTATCTGGAGGTCATGTGACGTTTACGTTCATCAGATCTTACCCGCCATGCAACACTGAAATGCTCCGTGTTATATACACACACTTTCCTTCATGTCATTACATATTTGTTACTGTCTAGAGTATCCTTCGACTGACGAAGAGTGGATTCTTTTTGGAACAGATTGACATTAAATCTAAAAAAGGAGGTAATTTCATTGTTGCTTAACAAGATCTTAAACCCTTCCTACCAAGCAATAAATAATTGTGAACGTTGAATCCATGTTTGTGAACATTGCACTCTATCCATGGAAATCGAAAAGTTGCCTTTGTAATGTGTCCAACAAAAAAAGAACTGAATACAACACGTCAGGGTTTTTTAATACTGAAAATAACATGTTTTACTTACTCAACCTGCATATTGCTGTTATAATGACAGACGAGGATTCACACCCATACAAAACACGTAAAATTGTAATTTTGTAAAAGAATGTCTGCTAACCTATTTCAAAACATGGAAATGTACTTCTGAACCTAATCAAGAAATAAAGCTAATATAGATTAAACAACTGTGAGCTTGATACAGGTTAAGCTTGTTAAAGGTTTCACTGAAATTTTTATTTGAATAATGGCAACCGAATCAAAGTATTGGAAAGTTATAACCAGACTTTAAACAGTTGATTAGCACTATGGAAAACTTATTTGATCTGTGACCATTCCCATTGGGAAGTTTATTTGGTCGCACAATCGATATTATTGTATGCATCATTCAGTAGTCTCCATTGATTTTTATTCAAATGAAAGTACTCAAATTATTCATTAAATAATAGTATCAGAATTTAGAAAAGTAATAATCTTTTTTTCAAGTTAAGTCTTTATCATTACATGATAAAAAAGTACACTTATAAATTTGACATGATTTTTCCAGTTGGTATTCCTCAAGCAAAGTTAGGTTCACAGGGCCACTTACTCTTGCTGGACAAAATTAATGTGATAAAAAATTAATGACTGCAAGTAAAAACTGAGAAATTACAATATACCATAAGAACATGGGTCAAATATTTTGCAAAATCATAAAAAAGAGAGTATAGTAATGGTCACTGAACTAGGCAAAGTGTTATTACAAAGCTTCTTTTATGTAAGCTAGTTAATTAAATTTAAGTTTTGCTATTAGCCCATGAAAATGGAATGGCAGTTAGAATCAGGCTGCATCACATACCTCTTTGAATTATGTCAAGGGTACCAATAAACAATACAAAATAGACCATGTGATACGTAGCATAAAACTTACTAAGAACCATGCTCATAGTGGAAGACTATTAGATGCAGCAGTGACTGAATACCCATATTTTGTAACATGTAATTTATATAGGATTCAACATCAAAACATAAGCCTCACAATAAGTCAATATCATGTAGAAGAAACAAGCTTCAGAATGTATATTAATAAAACCAGTACATAAAAATAGTGTTTTATTTTCAATTGCAAACACATAAAAAATACAACATGATTTTTATAAACACATATCTATGAATTTCTGGGCAGAATTATGTGCATGTTATACCACTAGAAAATTGAATTCACAAAAATCCCCCATAAAAAACAACAAACTTCATATCAAACTTACACTTAAGTATGCATAGTAACATGTCAAACACTTTTCTTTTTAATAATTCCATTTCAACATCAGAGGCACACTGTGCCTTCTGTATCATACAAGGATTGAGAGTCAAACATTTTCTGGAACTAAGAGACAAGTGAATGTGTATTATTAATTTAAAAATGGGGTTTTAAGTTAATGAGGGTTAAGTGAGGACAGTCAGAACAGAAGGTTTTTAAATAAGTGTGGTAGCAAACATTTTCTCCACTGCTTTGACACTTGTCAGCAAAGGCTAACACCAGCAGGAGGAGGTTTAACTAGGTAATTCACAGTAAGTAATGAGAGACAGATCTATAATAATGCTAAACTGTACCTATGTTTTCTTAACAGTCAGTAAGTAGAATGTCTGCTCATGCAACCTTGATGCAGCCAGACAAACGAAGTGGCAACTAGGAAGACAATCTGAATATAACTTGCATTAATATGTTTTCCTTAAACGAATGATCTTCACTACTGGAGGATTTAACTTACTGGGGATACTGGGAACGACCCGTTCTTCAAGTGCCTGAGCACTGCGGGTCCCAACTTTTCGTTGGCTTGATCTATAGACATTCGGTAGGACTCCTTGGATCGGCCCGTCGCAAGGTCTCTACCTGTACACAGGACAGCACAACACAGAAAAACGCGGACAATCATCCATGGCTTGAGTGGGATTCGAACCCACGGTCCCAGTGACCAAGCGGCACAAGGCCCACGCCTCAGACCGCGTGGCCACTTCGGACCCCAGGATTTAACTTATGCCATGTTAACTCACTGACTGATTTAATTTTATGAAATGTAATCTGTACCTGTTACGATTGAGAAAAAAACTTGCTTGGTCTACCCACCCCCCCCCAAAAAAAAAAACCACTTTTATTCATATCGCCTTGGTCACGTGTCCTTTGGTTCAATGAAGTATCACATGGTGTGTGTCCTACAGAAACAGACTGGGTGGATAGAGTAACAAAATTCATTTACAGATGTATTATACCCTTACAACATTCAAATCATAAATTCAAACTAATCTGCTGTATTCAAAAACATTCTCATTTGGCAGTGATTGCAAAGCAGAACTCTAAGACTAGTAAAGTTCTTGTACGTTGACAATGCATTTCCGTGTATGAAGTGTATTGGACAAATCACGACAGCACGACAGTTTCAAATTAAGTGTATGTATAAAGTTACTCAAAATCTAATTATTGTCTCTAAACAAAAACAGCATATAAGAATATCATAAAAAAAGGAAATTTTAACAGAGGCCACCAACCACCTGTCTTCTGACCCTTCCAGACTGATGCATGAATTGTATTATTACACTTTCACAAGCAAAATACAGACTCCCCCCACCCAAGTCCTGTTCATTATGTTAACAATCATTTACAGAAATATTTAACATGTCAATAGATAATTAGCCATTGAGAAACTATTCATTAAAGCTGTGCAAATGATGTGTAAAGAAAAGAAATTTGTTTCTTAATTTAATTTTTCAACATTCTGAATTATAGGGTGATAGAAAAGTCACACAACCCATTCCTGACACATGTTAAATTTATCAAAAAATAAATTACACTGAAATCAAAAACAAATGTTATATCAAGTGTTCGAAATATCAACTGCAATCAGCAATTCATGTATATCATCCAAACTATCATCACTTCCAATGGACCCAGCTGAATAGGTTGTGCAGAGCCAGCTTCTAATGGATCTTTAAAAAGTTTTTAATTTCCAGTTCACAAAAGAAAATGTCTGAATGCCCAATACCATACACCAGTTTAGTGAAATGCCTTCATCATAAACCTTTAGGAAAACATTGTGAAGATTGTTATTAACAGAAATGTTATCTTAAAAATTTGCTAACTTGAAAAATAAATTTATCGTGAAGAAAATAACAGGAATGAAGAGGACTGAAAAACTGGAATTTAGCTGACATGAGTAGGTTAGCTCTGTTTTCCCTTTAATTTGTAATTATTACTATGACATCTTACTGAATTCATCACATAATTTGCACTATGGCTATCTGAAATCACGCTGACTTTCCCCCTTCATAAGCATGATGAGTCTGATGAGCTGAAATACAACAGAAAAAGTATTACAAAAAATTGCACTAACACAGATGGCAATGTTTGGTGAGATATAAATATGAATTAAACACGGTTATTGATTTTTTCAAATGGAAATATTAACGATGAACTGTGCTAAAATGAACATAAATGAAGTGGTTAAAAACAACCAAAATACCAATTAATTGAACTCATACTCCTTCATACAGCTTAGCATTCCTTTGCCTATCTTGGAAGTGTCCACATGATACCATTGTGAAATGTGAAAATGAGAGACACATTCTGTCACCACTACATCTTGATTCTGCATAACAATACATTCACCCTGTTCAATTTTTCCTTTTACAATCTTAGGAACATTTCCATCTATTTGAAACATCCCAGCTAAACCGAAGCCATTTTTCTTTGAGAGGCATAGACCTGACAAATCTCAACAGTTATCTACAGTAATGTACAGATTCAGCCAAATAGTGATCCCATGAACTTTGCAACAATTGTACTTATTTACGGACCTTCAGCTCAGACAACAAACACTGTCACATGCACTGTATTTCCATTGTACACAATTCTATGGGTATGACATATAAAGACTTTCAGATATACCTTAAAAATAAACAGGCATTTTAGCTCTACAATGGTAGATACTCACATTTGTAAAACTCAGTTGTGAAGTTGACATCTGGTAGAAGCCTGTGAATTTTATGTAGTATTGTTGCCTCAGATGCTAGTTCAGCAGATATGTTCCATACCTGGACCAGATCATCACGTTCCCGCACTGACACAGTCACACCACACACCTCATCCCCTTCTGATATACTGTCACTGAACTGTTCTCCTATTGCTGCCAGCAGTAGTTCCTTCCACACTCTGGTCTATAACATTACAAAACAGCTATTATTATAATAAGGTGATTCAAATTAGAATTGTAAACCACTGAAAATTATAGCAAATACAAGAAACAATGTAATACTTTGTGGCATGTTAATTCATCTACTGATATTTACACTAGAGACCTGTGTTTGTGAAAAGTGTCTGAATGTTAGATAACACCAGTTTTCTTTGAAGTATGGACTGGATGTTTCAGTATAATTTATATGAGCTTGGTCTTCAAAAGGTTAATAAGGATTAAGAGAAAGATTCTATTTTAAATAATGAAATGTGGCTGAAAAAACTTGTTCATCCTCCTTCACATAGCAGGCAGAGAAGGATCTTTCAAATGCACTGCTCATTTTGACAAGACCATTTCAATGGACACGAAAGTAGATGTTCTAGCTAATGCTTGTTATATCGGAAGACAGCCAGAAGTTGAATGAATATGACTAAGACCTCCACTGTTTACATGACATGTGAAAATCTCAAATTTCCTGAAAGCATAAAAAACAAATTATATAATTATACCGTATCATTTTTGAAACACTTCAGGCGCCAGGTGCCTCCTCGCTGGTTATAGGACTCCTCCCACAAAGGTTTGTGCTCATCTCTCATCAAGTGGTAACTGTATCGCACTTGCAAATCACCCACACTTGGAATATTGTTGTACACACCCCAGAAACCCTGTACTGTGCTCACAGTATAGATTTTCTTTAGCGTTGCCTGGTACTCAGCTGCTGTGGATCCTGGAATTGACCTGAAACATTGCAAATATTTTACTTTAAGAATTTATAATAATAATCCATGGCGTAACAGCCCTCTGAGAGCCAAAGCCAGCTGCTGGTGCTGCCGCATTTACAGTATGTTAATTTGCTCAATCACTTCACAGTCCTACTGCAACAGTATAGTGTGATGGGATGAATTATGATCATTTGGACAAAATTATGTATTCCTACTTCTGGACAATGAAATAACTCTGAGTATTCCTATAATGATTGTTATTTTTTCAACAATTTGAACTCAAGATACCAAAAGAACAAATAATTATATATACATTTTTAACAACAATTTTAGAAATGTTCTGTCTCTACCCCTAATCTTCCACAAGTGACATCCTAACAACTCCTTCCCCACCAACTCTGCAGTACGCTATTTTTATTAATAATTTACTAGGCAATGGAATTTTGTTCTTATTGTTTCCTGTATATGTTGTTCATAACAAATATTGGCTTGTTACTAATTAAAAATTTATAAAATCCTTGTTGTCAAAATATAATTAAAATAATTAGCAACAAACAAATAATCTGTTACCTCAATAAACTGTCCTTTATCACTTTCCACTGCAATCGAATACATAATTTATCATAAATAATTTGCTGACACAAATTATTCTTCTAACATTCATACCAATTAGCCATCTGTTGAATGTGAAGGTTGGTAATACGGAAATTGGGGGAGATTTCCGAACTTGACCTTCGTAACGTCACAGGGTGATACGAAAATGTTAAGGCTAGACGATAACAGGTAACAGAAAAAATACAACTTATTTTGTATAATAAAAAGTCCATACTTGTCCAACCAAAATGTCCATGGAGTTTGAAGTGGCACGCCTTTAGTTTCTTGGCTACGAATATTGCTGAGTGCAATATTTGTAAATATGGGAGACTTCGATAAATCGCAAGAACCATCTCCAGACTCTGAACCAGAGGAAGCCATCTTCCTAACCAAACCACCTAAAATGAAAATGACACTTCACTGCCATTTGCACGATTCACTTGTCAGCAATATAATAATTTCACTTAAAATGATGAAACATCGTGTCAATTATGGTACGACTTTTAAAGTAATAGGCAATCATCCAGTATTCTCGAAAATAATTAAATAAAATACATTTATACCCATATTCACGCATAAACTTAAATTCGTTCAGAGTTTCTCCGCCAGAGAACAGATAAATCTGGTGTTATCAGTTGTGTATAATAATTTGCAGATATTTATGTGAAATTTGTTAGTCTACAAATTAGCAACCATTGAAATAATAGTGATCATCATTTCTCTTAAAAATTGTTGTATAATTTTGCCATTGTTTATAATCGCGCCATTTTGGAGACATGACAACACTGCTATCATATGATTATGTTCGGCGTGATAAATCAGTTGCGTGTGTTGCAAAGTGATTCACCAATGAAGTCTAATTCTCGCGTATTGTTTACAATATAATTTATAAATGTGACAATTATGTGGGAATATATCATATTTGTATTTCTCACTTTCTGTCATATAGCATACGCTTCACATGGCTTTGATTTTGGTGATGCATTAGCACTTATTATTGGAATGGCTATTGGGATTGTTGGCATATGTGCCTGTTTGGGTTGTTATGCCAGAAGAAGAGGTGGAGGACTAGATGCGTTATAGCATCGTGCAAAATTGCATCACAGATATACGTATTTTAATTTGGAAAGGTGGGCATTTAATTTGTTAAGATGTGTGTGAAGATTTCAGTGTTGCATGAATTCCATTGAAATATCAAAATGCCACATAGTTTCCTTGTTCATTTGCAGATCTGACTTCATCCTTTCTCACAGTAATCATTTGTAAAAAATACATATAATAGGATTTTTAAAGTTTCTATGATTGTGTTTATTAGATATTGGGTAGAGGTAGTGGCAATTGAAACATGATGTAGGGTCCATGCCTCTGTAATTATCAGTCCTGGAGGACATGAATAACTTTCATTTTAGTTTAGTAATATTATTTTTAAATTATGCACTATATTATTCTTACAAAAACAGTAAGGGATGATGCATTTTCATACTTTAAATGTTTCCTCCAATTAGTCAAGTCAGAAGAACTTATTAAACTCATGTCATTTAATTCCATGTAGCTTTCCATATATAATGTATTAACTTATATTTTGAAACTTTTGTACAATTTAAATAGAAAATAGTGCAAGGGAAATGTCTGGTCAAAGAGCATCAGGCTGTAGGGAAGGGTGGCAAATGATTCACCTAAATCCCAAGTTGAATTGTAACAAGAAAAAATTCAAATTGAAATCTGACAAATTACTCTTTAAAACTTTGCATTTTTATACATGTGTGGCTGTTAGCTGGGTACTGTTTTTTATTTCAACTCCCTTAGTTGCCAGACACATTACCCAGTTCCAACGATAAAAGGAGGAGGAATTCCCATAGTTTTAACTTACCTTAAATGATTCAAAATAATGCACCTAGAAGAGACATGGATACATTAAGGTTGTTCTTTTCTTCCAGATGCACGATTTTCCAGCTGCTTTCTCAGTTTAGTCCATTTGATCTGACACTTTTCTTACATCTTCATTCACCGCAACAGAAATTACATTTATCTTTTAAGCAGTCAATAAGTATGAACAAAATAATTGTAATTATTGTGCCTAATATTTAATCATGTAAGTGTTGTGAGACTTTATATCTGCATTATTAAATTGTTTTATTATGTAAATTGTATTAATTTGCTTATACTTTACAGTATTGTTCCTTATATCCTGAAATAAAGATGCTCAGCAGTGACCAAGCAGTAAGGGGTCATCCTCCACATTATTTGAAATTATCCAAGCAACTGGATTTATCTGATTCAGGATAGAATCCAGAAGTAGGCTTTCTTTCATAAAATACAAGGAATTTGACTAGATGGGGAAATTATTAGCTTGTCAAGCACTGTTCCATGGAGTTATTTTGGTCAAATCATGAGATATATCATACAGTGACCTTTCTGGTATGACTTAATTTTTTCCGAGGTATCTGAAAGGCACCTTTTCTGTAAAAACTATTTGTGGCATCTCAACAAAAAAAAACATTACTTTAGAAAAAATACTAATACAAGAAAGGATTTTCATTACTAAGACATTCACATTATAGAGTATACACAGTCTATCAACTGTTAGTTTAATTGACATAAAGTGAGATGGTCAGATATGAGGTTCTCACACTGAGTATTAAGATGGCAGCCTTCTCGGATGCTACACCATGAAGTCTGGTATACACCAACATTAAAGAGAAGCTTACAGCTTCCATCATCAGAGTGATGAGTCATCTAAAATGACTGTCAGCATCCAACAAATTACATAGAGCTACATTCCAGAAGAGGCACCTTCATAAACATATTTGTATCCTTCTGCATAGTGTTCTTTGACTGATTCCCTAGCTCATTCTATCAAATTCTTTCCTACAAAAAAATTTCTGTAGTCAGTTTCAAAGTAACCATGTGACTACCACAGCATAAATATTTTTCCAAAAACTTTCTGCTTCCCTCACCACACACATATTTTACACAAATTGGAATAGAAGTATGATGGTTTTAAAAATGTAAGGAGTCTGCAAGACTTTAATATGCAGTGTCCTTTAACAATACTAATACAACCGCAGATTTAAATCATCTCAACTGCATAATTCTTTATTCAGTAAAACTTCCATACACCAATGTTGAAGAGGAACTTTAATAAGCAGGCTACATTTTTTGGTGTCAAGAACAAGACAATCAAATATCTACAAAATGGTAATTACGTATGTTCCCTTCTCATGCATTCTGGTAAGGTTGCTCACATTTAGGTGCACAAACAAGAGACAACACCAAACAAGTTTTCGCATATTATTTTAAATATACATCTCACTTTATTTACAAACTTGAAACCAATTAATTAACCTGATTTGTGAAACAGTACCAAATTTGTAATGTACACTATTAGTGTTATTTGCTCTCATGATTCTGTACACTATGTTATGGTACTTTGTGTAGACCAAAGCATGTAAACAGCATGAAATGGGCTTCATATAGTTCTCTGACAATGAACTATTTCACAACTCCAGACAAATAAAATATATGTGACTTACAATCTTCCATTTCATAATCAATTTCTTCTTCACTTATATTAAACTTCCCAGTCATATTCCTTTCAAATGAGATTGAACAAGTTGCCTCAATCATTAAGGATTGTTATTAGAAAATCAACATGGAAAAGCCCGACACAGACATGGATTTTTTATGCAGGTTTCTTCAAAAACATTTTAATTATGAGCATTAAATGAAGTAGAAAAAGGCTAAAAATCCAATTTAAAGTAATGGCAATAAACACAACTATGATTTCATTACAAGTGATTCCAGAAACTGAAAATAAGCATATTTAAGATCATACTGCATGTCATACCAGTAATTTATTGCAATACAAGCATGTGATTGCTGAACATGATGAAACCACAGAGATGGTAAATACAACACATCTCCTGCTTCGACTCTGACTCGGATAGGAGTTGCATTTCTGTATTGCGGATATGAGGCAAAATCAGGCGATAATGGATCAATACAGATCCATGGGACAATGCTGGCACTTAAACTGTGTGATGATGTCTGTGATGCATCCTGACATCCATCTTCATCATCAGACAAAGTTAGTGTTTGCTTGTAATTTTCTTTATTGCACACTTGGCATGGGCCTCCATGCGATGTAGTTTTAACTTTGTGTTCATTAACATACATTTTATAGAGAACCTTAGACTCAGCTTTCACACAATCATCTATTTCTAATTTGCTGAGATAATTTACAAATCCATCAGACAAATCAGATTCTTCACCTAAATTGTTATGAATTAGTTCAAAACTGTTATGTAAAGCCTTTTCCTTACTGCATACTTCAGAGCTTGCTGTTGCAGCACCTGGACAATCATTACAGTAAGAGTGCTGTGGATTCTCTTTTTCTGAATCAGAATTGTTATTATTACGTTGGACATTACCACAGGGTATTATGTCAAAAATTCCAGGGGATATCTCCTTGTATCTTGCAAGAGGAAACTTCTTGTAGGGAATCCATGGCCGATCAGTTGGAGGATGAAGAATGAAGTCCTTGTAGCCAGAGACTACACAGTAAATGTTTTCAAATGGGTCTTTATGCACTGAAATGAAGTGAATAAATAAGCTGAAATACTGTATAAAATTTAAAATGGAATATTAATATACTGGAAAATCATGTGGAACATACTTCAGGCACAAAATCTCAGAACTCTGTATGAGGTCTTGAACAGAATTTGTTGCAACAATATCTTATAATAGTAATGAACAGCTCGGCGAAGTAGAAAGAGCAAACTTGACAACCTACTTTCATTTCATATAAAATCTCAATCAGCAAAGTTAATTTCTCAGTCCAGATTCTAACTGACAAATACCACATGTATTGTCTCTATTTATGTTTGTTTAACAATACCATCAGTAACTCAGACTATAAAGTGCCAGATGATAGGATGATAATGAATTTGGAAGGATATGTACAGATGTAGTTACGGCCTAATCTGTTCTATCCTGGCACTTGCCTGAAGGGACAGTAAAATAATGGGGGGAAAAAATCATTCAGGATAGCTGCTCTTAGGGGTCAACACTGGAATGTAGAACCTCCCAAATACAAAGCATTTCACATTCTGTAAAGTTAGTAAATTAAAGCTGACCCACTATATGCCATGTAGGTACTTGGGGGAAGAGGCAGTATAGCTTCTACTTGTTCTTAACCTCGGCACTAGAGGGGGGTGAGTGGTTAGTGTCACACACTGACCACGCCTTACCCCCAGGAAAGAACCCCAGTATGGGCCCCAGAGCCAGTCTGGATGCAGAGGCTACAGGAAAAATCCTCTGTTGGGGATCGAACCCCGGTCGTCCAGTCTGTAGCCAGTCTCTACACTGACAGCTATCCCCAGTTCACATTCAATATTACTGCTGTAAATTTATTACATTACTCAATAAAGAATACTGTTGAAGCAAACTACTTTCTGGACATTATCCATTGTCCCACATTTAACAAACACAATGTTTCGGAGATTGGAGATAGGGACTAGAGCTACTGATTGGGCTGAAGACGGAGATAAGATTCTTATCTCCGAAATGTCGTGTTTTATTAAATTTGGGATGATGGATAATGTAAAGAAAGTAGTCTGCTTCAACAATGCACCACTGTCACAAACCTCCAGAATTAAAGAATAATGCGGTTGTATCCAATTTACTTACTTGAGGTGACAGCCCGTTTGTCACCCATCCATATGTTAGCAGCTTCAGGCTCACAGCCGAAGGCCTCCGTGGCCCATGGAACGTCTCTTCCTACATCAGTAACCAATTCTGGGAAATCTTTTGTCAGGTTTGAATTCTGACGTTGGATATAAAACACCCCAGGATACTGATCATTATTTTCAAGAGCATCCAAAAACTCTGACATAAGCATAACCCTTTCATCTGGAGTCACAAAGTATTCTGAAGATGGTTCTCCACTGCCTGTGACAATGGCATCAGCATAACCATTTGGTGTTACAGCAACAGTCACTAGTTTTTTACCCAGGAAATCCCTGTTACAAAAAACATATTTCAGTCAAGCTACTGACATGAGAAAAGCTACCGTTAATTATCGAGTTATATCCTTAACAAGAGGCATTAAAATTTGCAGTTTCTTTCAGAAATGTGAAAAGCAATGAACCAATACCACAGGACACATGGAAATTAAATAAGGAAAGTGAGGATTTACTGACTGAAAGTAGGTGGCTCATATAGTTACCAATAGGCTTTAAAGGGTTAAACTGAGAAGCACATTACTTATAAATAAGAACAAATCGGTAGTAAAAGAGGTTGACTGATGCATTGCCTGTTGCTACTCTTATTAAAATAGCACCCTAAATTTCATTTTCAAACAATGTCTGTTGGCTCAGGCATGGTAGATCCCTGATGATGAAGACCAAGATGGTTCTTGAAAGGTTGGTTTTCTGCAACCACCTGACATGGCTGACTACCCGAGAAGACATCAATGAATGAATAATTTTACACTGTTGCTGGTGAAAATACTGGCACAAAAACCCTGTCCATGAAACTAAAGGTGACAACGATAACACTGGTTAGGTGTCACCTTACAATATAGATCAAAATCATATGCCTACAGGCACCTTGACACCCTCAGAAAGGTTTTTGGGTGCCCAAAAAATAATGAAAAGTATTCATAGCAACTTCTTAAATGTATGCTTATTATTTCTGAGCAAGTGGTAATTTTTTCTCTATGAACAAAATTTCTGTCCACTGTTAACAAGTTCTAAATATTTATAATTAATTCAGTTATTTTACTGCAGACTTACTGTAGTATACTAACTCAACTAATAAGTTACTGTTCAAATCATTATAAAGGAGATATCTACAATTCACCTAAAAAACTGCACATTCCATTTTCTGATGGCTGGCCAAGTATTCACTGCACCTTTGATCAGGACAGGAAGGTTAGGCGCAACCCAATCCCGGTAAAATTCCAATGGTGAAACAGGACTATCCACAACTGGAACAGCTGATCTTAAGTACAGCTCTGAATGGACAGACAAAATGTACTGAATTCATGTGATATAACATGACATGAAATCAATTCATACATACTATCATTTTTTTTTATATCTTAATTGCGTCATGTTTGTGTTTTATTGATACAATATTTTATTTTCCGTCTATACACAAACTTAAAATAATGTTGTTTAAAATTACTTAAAATTATAACATTCTCAGTAGATACTGCATCTTGTTACATTTTTTGTTATCGACGACATGTTTCAATGAGTATTACATCATCATCAGGTCTATCAATTTTAATATATTTTAAAAACTGTTGTACATCTTGCGTTGCGTATATTGATTAATTTGAAAACCATTTGCATTTTAACCACTGTATCATTAGTTTCATATGAAGCTGAGCATAAATGAATAATATAAGAAACAGCAAGACTATGAACACATTAAATATGTAACTGGGCTCACTCCTGTGAACTGTAAGCAGTATGAACAAAATTCTCAGAAACATGACCAGTAAGAAATATGAAAAGATCAAACATAAAGCAGAAAGAAAGTTACCTTTGGCATCTGTTGATAAAAGTCTGAAAGACTTCAAAATCCTCTGTTCCGACACTGTCATTGTGAAACAGCTGAAACACAAACAAAATAATATTAAAGTGAAAAAATCTGCATACTCTGCAGTTACTTTCAGACACTAAGACTATCAGCCTCACTAATCACTATGATGGGATATGTTAACATACAGTTGTGTTGTGGTTTGGAAAACAAGTGATATGACAAGTAGGATTTGAGGTTTTCAGAGCGGTGAGTCCGAAGATGGATGTCTTCTGGGTTGCTGCACCATGTAGTGTGGTAGAAGTTTACCTACTTCTACCAGACTACAAGGCACAACAACCCACAAGACAATCATCTTCAAGTGATATGACTTTTGGAACAAAATGTTTGCTCATGAAAGTCAGTAGACAAATTTACCTCTATCAGGAGCAAATATTGGCCTGCCCACATTTGTTTTGAATTAGTCCTTTAAAATATCATTGAAGTCTGCTACTCTTTAGGTCAATTTTGCTTACTTATGGAACTAATTCTCATTCCTACCATGTTCACAATTCTAGACCACAGATTGAAAAAACAGCAAGCCTAACAGAATATTTCAGTTCACATGAAATTTAAATTCCCCATGCTATTGTTTCCATCAAGGCCTTTTATCAAACTTCCTACTTACCAACACTGAACAAGTTATAACGGTGGCTTTTGATCCTACAAAAGGGCTTCCTCCTGGTTTGTTTCCACTAGGTTAATTTAATTTATTTTATTACATCCTTTAAACCTATTGACTTCTTATTCATATTTGTCTCAAATGTAGTGCAGTGAAGGGAACACCTAACACAACATGACTTTACCATCAACAACTGGCTGATACTTATATTATTTATGATGTTTCAACTGCATGATGAATATCATGAATGGTAAGTAAGGAGAGATTTGAAAAGAGGTGGTTGACACCGAGATGCCAACTTAATATATCCCTGCAGAGGATGAGAACGCTAGAAACTTTTACAACCAAAATTGCCAACTGTAATATGAATCACATATCCCTTGATCACAAGCCTGGAGTATTACTGCACTACAAACTGATTCAGTTCCAAATACCGAAAGTAACCAGATTCATTTCACAGTAACCTATGATAAGTCTCTTAATTTCTAAACCTTGAACTATAATAATTATTATTACTGCTGTTTTTGTGTGCTTGGCTGTAACTGGCCTTGTCTGGCTGCTGTCATGCACAAGAATAAATGAACTCAACTATTATTATAAGTTTAAATTCATTCCACATCTCCTTTTGTGTTCCTAATGCAATTTCATAAGTAACTGATAAGCCAAAATAATTGACAAGGAAAATTTTATATTGCTGAAGACTATGATAATAAAAGCTAAACACTGCAATAGTGTAAAATGCTTCTGCTTCATTATTAACACATACGGAAATCAGTGTTTATTACACCACTTCTCACTCTATCAATAAGGCTCTCCTCTTGCACACTTACTTACCATTTATTATGTTTAGCGAGTCAGATTCTCTGTCAAGCATCATGTGTT